TTTAAGTTGCTTCGTTTTATGTAATAATACTTTCTCTTTAATTCTATAAACAGACATAATTTCTTGTTCAGTTACAGAGTTCTGCTGTTAAAGTCCTATAATTGCTGTGTCGAGAATACCGACTAATTTGTCAATCGAAATTTTTTCGTTTTCTATAACCTCTGTGTCACTTTCTTCGCTATCGGAAGTGAATTATAATGACGAGGAATTTTATTTAAATCATATCAAAAATGGAGTACATCAAGATGAAATACTACATTTAGTAAGGAATTATAAGCCGAATAAAATAAAAATATCTGCCCTGAAGATAAGGATAGTGCTGATAGATCAACTTCCAATTTATAGCGGCATGGCATCCCCCCCCCCCCCCCCACCACAGAGCAGCGTGAAATTGATATAAACAGATTTCGAAATGGTTAGAAGATGGAGTACATCGAGATGAAATACTACATTTAGTAAGGAATTATAAGCTGAATAAAATAAAAACATCTGCCCTGAAGATAAGGATAGTGCTGACAGATCAACTTCCAATTTATAGCGGCGTGGCATCCCCCCTCCCTCCCGCCACCGCAGAGCAGCGTGAAATTTATATAAACAGATTTCAAAATGGTTAGAAGATGGAGTACATCGAGATGAAATACTACATTTAGTAAGGAATTATAAGCCGAATAAAATAAAAACATCTGCCCTGAAGATAAGGATAGTGCTGACAGATCAACTTCCAATTTATAGCGGCGCTGCATCCCCCCTCCCCGCCACCGCAGAGCAGCGTGAAATTTATATAAACAGATTTCGAAATGGTTAGAGAAACAAAGGATATGTCTTTATCCATTTTTTGCAGCAATTCCACTCTTTGTTTGATGGACATCGAAACATGCTTTCGCTTTGTAGATCCTTTGGCAGCTCCAGAATCGGAAACTCTTTTTGACAGAATCGAAAGTTCAAGCTTACTTTTATAAGATTGCTCTAACAGTCTGCAAAAAATAATAAGCCGGATCCAATTGAAGATTAAGGAACAACACAATTTGCAACATTAACTGAAATAGATAATTAGATAATTGTAGCTTATACCGTCCGTTATACATTAAACGCGCATGCGCAGCCGTAAAGGTCTTACCCGCATGCACATAACGCGTGCGCAGAAAATTTGTAGCTTTGATGTCCGGATTATAGGTCATTCCGGATTATGGGTGTCCGAATTAACGACTTTTGACTGTATTTGAAATCGCATAACAGGCGGGATTTCAAATATCTGCATTTTTAATAAACTGTATTTATCAAAGATACAAGTTTCCATGCAAGGATGCTTTAACACATTGTTTCTTTGCCTGAAAAAGCCGAAAGATAAAATATACAATATTAATTTTTCAGTCGACCTTTAAATAGAGCAAAATAATGCTAATAAAATGTGCTGGAAGGTTATACATAATGATAATTTCAATTATCCCAGAATTATAATTCTGCTATGATCAGTTTCCAAAATAAAAATAGTGAAAATTTTTACTAAGTTGTATTAAAAAGTCATCATTATAAAGAAAAGGCTGCAAATTGGGTTTCTGATTTAAATCAAGATTGTAATTTTAAAATCTAAATTAACTTTTTGCTTTTAAATCAATATTTTTATAAAATGTGTAACTCAAGTTAGTTTTAATTATTAGAATATTGTTGCAAGTTGTAGTAGTTATATATTTTATTTTACAGAAAGTGATATTAGTACACACATAAAAAACATGATTAAGAGCAAATAAAGTACAAAAAATGAGAACTATGTAACATATAGTGTGGAAATTGGTGGTCTGAAGATCTTTTGACTTGATAAATTGAAGGTCCTTGTTATTACTAGTTCATTTCATTACATTTAAATTTTATTAGATGAAATTAAACAGACCATTCTTAGCTTCTAAAAAGTTATAATTTTATTTTAAGTTGCGTAACTATACAAATATAAACACTCAACGTTACAAATATTCTAAAATTGCCCTTCATTTCATACCCTTAAAATTTCAGAATTATTTATGCATTTTAAACAGTCACTGAAAGAATTAAAATTATATCTAGTTTCATACTCTTTTTTTGATATTTAATACTTTCAGCGATAGCAGCTTCTATATGTCTTTGATCAGTCTAGTGTTGTCTAGTCAGCAGGCTCTCGCACTGCTGGGATAGACGATATATACACTGGTTATCATAAATTAAAGAAAAGTCACAAAAATAGTGATAACTCCCTCAAAAATAAGCCAAACCGTGTAAAATTTGGATATGTTGCCAAGTAAGAGTAGCTGAGTAAAACTCCAATATGCAAATTAGTGGCGCTGCACTCGGAATACGTCATCTGCGAGAAGCATAAAAGTTCATGTTTGAGAGCAAGCCCACATATTTCACTCTGATAGTGACATCAGAAATCTGAGATAGCCGATTCGCAACAACTTCAAGCATCATTTGCCTGCAGAACTACGATAGAAAGCCATTGGGAGACTAGAGGCAGGACAAAGTCAAACAGAAGTGGCCAGATGGCTAAATGGGTGTCCTTCTGTGGTTCGTAGACTTTGGAGGCAATTTCAAATCACAGATTCGTCACCTAGGAGGTTCAGCCAAGGACGGCCAACTGCTACGATGAGTGCCAATGACCGATATTTGACATTATGTGCACTCAAGAATAGAACTGCTACTCCGACTCTTCTTAGATCCTTCCTTGCTGTAGCAACTGGTGTCAACGTCAACTGTGCGTAGAAGGCTTCACGAAGGTAGTCTGTTTGCAACGCGAACAACCATTTGCGTGCTGTTTAAGTCACGCCATAGCAGGGACTGTTTGCAGTGGGCATGACAACATGTCCACTGGACGCCCGAGCAATGGAGGGCTATTCTCTTTACGAATGATTCCAGGTTTAGTCTAGAATGCGATAGTAGGCGTTATTTGATATGGAGAGAACCTGGAACTCGTTATCATCCGTCAAACATCCATGAAAGAGATGCATACGGAAGAGGCAGTGTCTGTGTTTGGGGTGGTATCTCTTTGGGTGGATGCACACACCTCCATGTTTTTCCAAGGGGAACCGTGAATGCTCATGTTTATAGAGATGACATCCTTGATGCTTATGTGCACCCATATGCCGGGACAATAGGTGATGCTTTCCTGTTGCAGGACGACAATGCAAGACCACACAGGGCTCGCATTGTATATGATTATCTTCAACAGGAAGCAATTATGCGCGTGGAGTGGCCAGCTCGATCCCCGGACTTTAATCCTATCGAGCACGTTTGGGATGCTTTAGGGAGACGTCTAGCTGCTCTCAATCCGCCCCCTTAGACCCTTGCCGCGCTTGCAACTGCTTTGCAAGAGCAATGGCTCTCACTTCCTATGGAACTGATAGACCGCATAATTCAAAGCATCACATATCACTGAATGTGCTGTATTGCTTCTAGAGGTGATTATATTCCATATTGAAGGTACTTTTACTATAGTAAACTGATATCTTCAATCTGTTCATTTTATTCATGTGCTAATTTCTATATTACCATAATTGTCTGGTAATTTCTTTTTATTTTATTTGATACCTTACTATGTGTTGTATGTTGTGGGTAAGTTTCATAAAATTCTACATTCAACTTTTTCAGTAATCGTGATATTTGTGATTTTTCCTTAATTTATGATAACCAGTGTACTTTGGGCAATTGGGAAAAAAAAAATAGGAACAGCATCCTTCTGCAAATGAGGTTGTTTTAATTTTACTTCTATAGTTTTCATTGTTTTTTCATCAAATGCTTGAGCAGTGCATCTGATGAAAGCATCAGCAAAATGAAGTTCATATACCTAAAATATCATATAAGTTTACTTTTACAACGAAAAGTTTGTATTAACTTTTATCATTAACTTAAAATTTTTTTTGCTCATTTCAGCTTTGGTTTCAATTTTTATGATGTTCGAATATGTTTCATTAAGCAGCGGAAAATAAAATAAAAAAAAAAATTCAATTACATAGCATTCTACTCCCTAACATATTTCAACAATTTAAATGATCATGCATAAAAAGTGATAATTAGCAAATTTACGTTATCCAAATCTACTTTAATGTCAATTAGTTACATTGGCTGAAAGGAAATTAATCCCATTATACGCTGCCAATTTCAGAGCACATAATATAGTTCTGACTTTTTGAGTTTGTATATTTGATTTGTTGGTTAATTAAAGGCTATCCGCCCAAGAGACGAGATGTTTTCGTGGAGCACTTCCAAACGAAAACTGATTCATGTTTATATAGTACAAAAAGGGAAAAATCGCAAAAGCACTCATTCAACTAATCTGTACATTGCCGTTTTAATGCATTTTGTAAAGGAAAAGTGTTTTTGCTATCCAAATAGCCTTACATAAAGGAGAATAATATGACCTGTTTTTCATTAAGGTAATTAATAGGATAATTTAGTAGTTTACCTCTTGTTAAATCTACTTAAATGCATTTATTTTCAATGTAAATTTAAGGGATAATTAATCTAAACTTATACTCTTTTATGGGATAAATTATCTGAACTTTCACTCTTTTCTGAATTTTTGTTTAAAAGTATATAAATGACATCAATGATTTATTTCTCATAAAATTATGACATTTTTAGGACCGGTGTAAATAGTCATAACTAAAGACAACAGATATATTTACAAATATGGGATTTCATTCTTTTTACTACAGTTATTTATCATAAACTGACTTATGTGAAATTAATTTATTTGAAGAATAGCAAATATAAATAAAAACTAATTTAATTACTTCTATTCTGTCGTCTTGAATAAGTAATAATTTGTTGCCAAAGTATTAATGCTATGTCATAAAATTGCAATTCTTTACTTATTTAATTATTATTTAAAATTTAATAGCAATTCAAGACTAATACCATATTTGAAAGGTGAAATAAAAGAGAAAAATCTTTTAAATAAAATTCAAACTTACCTTGGAATAAGGTGATGGCTCAAAATGTCGCGGTATCTTTGCTAACCACTTTTCTTTCAGTTTAGGACATTTTGGAAAGCTAAACACTGATACAATTGGACCATTTGGATAATTGCCCTTACAATTTGGAATATAGCATGTATTCACCACATTTTGCTAAAATATTCCGAGAGAATTATCAGGTTGTTGATAATCAAACAATTACCAGAAGAGCACGAATACACAGTAGAAGATAGTAGTGACTGCTTGACCAAGCATTCTGAGGACACTAAGCATGGTGGGTCATTGGAATGGCGACGAACTGTTTCCCCAACTTGCGTGATGTCACAGTTTGTTTGGAAGCCTTCTATTTCAGACGACTTTGGTTATACACTTGGTATAAAAATGATAGATTTAAAAATAAAGAGTGAGCAAAAAATAAATTAGATTTCTATATGTACCTAAATGCTGTTTGTTTAAAAGCAATGACATACCTTATGAACTTGAAAATTTTCATTATTGGATAACATGAAAAGTTCATCATATTCGTCTTTCTGTTTATATCTTCAGGCACATCATCGAATTCTGTTTCATCTTCACAATCACTATTACTCTGAAAATAGGAAGTCATCTTTCATTCCATCTAGATTATGAGATATACTACACTTTTCAAATTACTTGAATTATGTTGCGTGTAATTTCATTCCATGCTTGTATTATCCACTGGGTACTATTCTGTTATCAGGACCAGGTCCAGAAATGTATGCATGAATGGATGTGTTCATGTATGCATATATATTCAGTACCCGACATTGAAAATGCAACACCAAGAAGGAGTAGCCAGAACGTGATAAAACTGGGCAAACAGAGAGAGACAGCAACAAACAATAAGTTATCTTTATTTTGAAATGATATGCATAATACAGATAATAGCATCAGCTCAGTAGATTGTAGGACCACTTTGGACAGCAATACACAAAACAACACGTCTAGGTACAGAGTCAGTGAGACTATGGATGGTGTCTTGAGGAATGCCTGTCTATTCCCTGTCAACCATTTGCCACAGTTCATCGTCTGAACCAGGACTGTGGAGTCGGAATCGGAGTTGGGCAGATTTTGGGATAAAAGGAGTTGGAGTTGCTAAAAACAAATCGAATCCAACTCCAGTTTTTGTTGGACAGTTTGAATTTGGAATGAAATTAAAATGAATTGAAAAAAAATTAATGACAAGCTGAGTTATTATTTTTATTTATGAACTGTATGCATTAATAGATATTTTCTATTTTAGTGACATATTAATAAATAAATATAAGGGAGGAGGATGTAATATTTGCCATTAGTGATTAAACTGATTCATTTAGTTACAAATCTCACTGGTAAATCTAGGTAAGCAGCAATAGCAACAAGAACTCCCAAAATTAATGCCATTCTTAGGAAGTGAGCAGGAAAAGGAGCAATTATTGATTAAGCAACATGATAAAGAAGTACACATTTGATGATAAAAAGGCTTTTAGAATTAAGGACTTTTTTAGAAGATGTAGGTAACCCTTATGATTCACTAACAAAAAGACTGTGAAATGGTCTTGCAGAATTGGAAACTCTTCTTTCTATACCATATATAGCCACAAAAAAGTTGCAATATGAAGAATTGACAGGAGGCTAGATTGGAAGAATGTGATGTTTGTTCTTTCTGAAGTGGAGGGTTTATTGCACAAGGAATAATTTGTTCAATGAAGAAAAGAGAAACTAGTTTGCTAAACAATGAGATCTTGCTGGGTTCAATATATGGAGATCCGAAACACCAAATTTTCCTGGATGATGAACAAATTAAAAAGGCAAAAAAAGTCATCTATGAACTTTCATTAAGAACGAAATTATTCTCAGAACAATTAGAGAATTCTAATCAGGACAGTCAAGCTGCAGACATTGCTCTATTACCCCTTTTTAGTGATGAATTAGATTTTGAGAAATATTTTTGGATAATATTGAAAAGACTAAGGCGAAGCGAATGAAAATAAAGAAACAAGAGCCTTTAGATATAAAAATGAAAAAATACAAACAAGATTTCTACACCGTCTTTGAAGAAACAGAGGAATATGATTTTGCCTGTAAGACACCTATTGTAGAACTTATAAAAGTCTATCATAAAAAGTTAAAAGAAGTAGCCCTAACCGTAACAGCTCTTCCTCCTACTCAAGTTAATGTGGAAAGACTCTTCTCAGCTCTGAAGTTTATCAGATCAGGTCTATGGCCCTCCAACAAAGAAAGTCTTCCCAAAGCTATACTGTTTCTTAGAAATAAGTAATGCCATTTTTCCATTTCATAATAAATACTAATTAATATAAATAATTTGCTATATCATCAATTTTTTTCCTGTAGCATCTATTACTTGTTTTATATTAAAAAAATAAGCTGTAACTCATGTGTATATGTTTATATATATACAGTCAAAAGTCTTTAATTCGGACTCGTCGGGCCTTCGGCGATTCCGGATTATCGATTCTTCCGGATTATAGATCATCAGTTTAAATCTGGTAAGATGGCATGCAGAAATTATAAAATTAAAAATATGAAACCATAATTTATAAAATAATGAGCAATTATGATCTAAAGGGTATCAAAATTTACAAAAAAAAAGCTTAATATTTATTTGTTTACTTTATTAAACATTTCTTTCATTGCGCGCATGCGTAAAGCATACCTTACGCATAGCCGAATTAGAAAATTGCAACCAGAAAACTATTTGATTTGTATTCGTGATATTTATAATGACGAGGAATTTGATTTAAATCATATCAAAGACGGAGTACATCGAGATGAAATACTACATTTAGTAAGGAATTATAAGCCGAATAAAATAAAAACATCTGCCCTGAAGATAACGGATAGTGCTGACAGATCAACTTCCAGTTCATGCGCGCCACGACGTCCCCCCCCCCCGCGCAGAGCAGCGTGAAATTGATAAACAGATTTCGGAACGGTTAGATAAACAAAGGATATGCCTTTATCCATTTTTAGCAATTTTTTTTTTTTTGATGGACATCGAAACATACTTTTCGTTTTGTAGATCCTTTGGAGCTCCAGCATCGGAAATTCTATTTGACATAATCGAAAGTTTCAAGCTTACTTTTATAAAATTGCTCTTAACAGTCTGCAAAAAATAATAAGCCGGATCCAATTCGAAGATTAAGGAACAACGCAATCATTAACATTAACTGAAATAGATAATTAGATAATTTTAGCTTATACCGTCCGTTATCATTAAACGCGCAGCGAAAACGTATTCTGCGCTTGTGCACACGCATATGCACAGTCGTAAATGTCTTGCGCGCACGCGTTAAACGCCTATGCATGCGTCAACGCGGCGCATGCGCAGAAAGATTTTTAGCTTTGAGGTCCGGATTATAGATCATTCCGATTGGAAAATTAACGACTTTTGACTGTATATATGTATGAAGGAGTCGGAGTCATTAAAATTCCAGGAGTTATTTTCCCTACCGACTCCACAGCCCTGGTCTGAATGTGGCAATGGCAGAGTCTGCAGATGGTGTCCAATTATATCCCAAATGTGTTTGGTGAGTGATCAGGAAAGAACGGTGGCCAGAGAAGCATCTCTACAGCCTGCAGAGCATGTTGGCATGCGAACAGTGTATCATCGAGCGTTATCCTGCCGATAAGGGGCATTTGGTACTCCATGAAGCTAGGGCAGTGTCATCAATTGCAGCACATCATCCATGATGGGAACATCCAGGGTGGCTTGAATATGCTGCAGAATGGAGGTAGAAGTGGCTTGTGTGTGCGCCACCTCTTGTCGATGGATGAGTCGATCATGCGTGCTGATGTCACTCCGCTGCACCAGCACCCCTTGAACTTGCCATATTTCCTTGTTCCAACCATCATCGTTACAGCCGGTATACTGTGGGCTCATCCAGCTGTGTATCACCTGATATTTGTGGTGTGGACCAACGTGTTCTTCTCAGTCTGATCACCATGCCCCTTGTAAAATCGTCTGTCTGTGGGAACTGCCTCCGTTGATGACAGCCTGGCATTCTGTGTTATTGCACACATCCTCTGAGACCAGAAACAATTTTCTACCATAATTTCCCTAGCGTTAATAATGACACGAAAAGGGAACATTCTGCAGGTTCCTTCCCTTATATCTTCTTCAACGTGTGCTAGAAATTTGCACATTTCATATCATTCGCATAACTCAGTGACATTCATCTACCCTGAAATTTGCATAATTCCTGGGCCACTCCTTCTTGGTGTTGCATTTTCAATGTTTGATAGGGTATGTACATACATATGAATCTCTGTGTGTACACATGATACATACATGCACATACATACATGTCATAATAAGAGCACAACAAGGAAAAGCCGGAGCAGTGTCGATGCGTGATGAGATAAAAGCACAAGGAAAGACGGAACACTGTCGATGCGTGATTAGACCCATACTGAAGAAGAATTTGATTGCGTAGTATGCTAGTAATGCTAACTTGGTAATATCTAAAGAACTTGGCAGTTTTAATTCCATTTTTTATTTCCAATTGATATTTGTGGCCACAATCACTTGGCACTAGTCGTGCCTTTCCACACAAGATTTACATTTTTGATATTGTTGGGATAGCAAGCAAGCCAGCGAAATTACATCTTAGCAGAGTAAAGAGCAAAGCTGAAGTGCGTAGTTATGAAAGATGGAAGCACGCGAAGAGAAAAGTTTTGGTTTACAAGGTCAGTTTCAGTTCTTAATTATTACGTCATCAGAGTTGCGTGGCCCATAGAGTGATCTAGAAATGACGCAATGCAGAGAAGTTATTACGATTTTAGAATAAAGAGGAAGAATTAATGTTTTTAGTTATTCTGATTCATATAATTTTATCTTACATACATACACTTCTGAATTCAGTCCTGATAACAGAAGAGTACCATCCACCCACACACTATATTTCTAAACTGGCATGATGCATTTAGCTTCCTTTTGTAAATGTTTTTTCGCTTTCTAACATCCACGTATTCCACTGTCGTTTAAAATTTTCTTTGAATGATTTATTGATATACACATCTAAAGGCTGAACTAATGGCGTTAATTTGCCTGGAATAACTTCCATATCTGCATTATGCTATTTCAATAATTTCTTCATGTTACCCATTAGATGAGATCTGAATATGCCCCAGACTAAAAGACTTTCTGGATTCTTTAAAGCCAAAAGACGCTTTTGCCAAACATTTCTTTTCCGCAGTTTCACACCCTCTTCATCCATCTATTCTTTCTCATGAACATGAATGAAGTACCACTTGGGAAATTGCATTTTGGCATCATGTTTCTTTAAAAATATAATTATGGTTTTTAATTTTGAAATGTCTGCTAAGCAGGAAAGCACTATGGTGAAGTGAGATTTTCTTGACCTGTTGTTTTTATGTGAACTGTTTTTATTCCTTTCACATCAATTGTTTTATTTCCTGTCATATCAAACCTCACCATATTTTCAATATGTGATAGTAAATACTTTTTTTCCTTTACGGCTTAATAATATACTTCTGAAAACTAATAAATTTATCATTTAAATCTTTCAAAAGCCTTTGTGAAAGTTTTGTTTTTTTCTTGTAGAACTAAATTATTCCATGCCATAAATCTACTACACCAACTCAAAGTTGTTTTAAAGTTTTCGTTTTCACTTGCATTGTTTTTGGCCCACTTTATGGCAAATAAAAGTACAATTGTTACAATTAATCCATTCTGGCAATTTTCCATGACCCAGTTTACAACTCTAATTTAGGAAAGGCCATTTCATTACTCCTCTATGCAAAGCACATTTATTCTTTGGGATATTAATTATTGTGATTTCATTTTTCTTCCACTCATGTATTGAGCTTCCACCAACACCAAATGTCCTTGCTGCAGCACAATTTCCATTTTCTTTTGCAGAATGAATGGCTTTGCATTTGAAACCAGCATTGTGTTGGTTTCTTTTCATGGGAACCATATTTACTGCTAAAAGGAACACCAATCAACTGTATTTCTACTAAAGCAAATGCGATTTACTAAAGCTTTCAATTTTCACTTCAAAATCACGGGTTCAAATGACTACACAGAGAGAAAACATCTAACTCCTAATTCCACAAATTCATTCAGGTTGGAAGTGTATTTGTACTCCAAATTTTACGCTCCTTCTCTTGAAATCCTACAATAGCATTCTTTTGGACAGCTGCATTGCATACAATCCACCATCTTTGCAGGATTATTTACTCCCCTCAAGTATATATATTGTTCCCCTTAACAC